CAATGAACAACCTGAACGATTACTGACTGCGCTGCAACAGTGGACATTTGAGCATTTGGCGTTTACCTGGAAAAGGAATGGGAAGTAGGAAAGGATTTTTTTAATGAAGTCTAAATCTTTAAACAGTTATTTCATACAGAGATTTTCAGTTCACCTTCAAGACAAATGATTTGTCTAGCTACTTCCACTATACCCACTGCTGTGCTATTTCAGCACCTGTAAGCATCCATCAGCTGTTTTCTCCCATTTTCAGTTATCAAAAAGTTAAAAAGGAGAGACATTCCCATAACATAAATTAAAACATTATACAACACAAAATAAAAATATTATACTTTAACAAAGAACAGAGACCATACAGCATTTGAATCACTAATTCCTTCTTTCAATCAGGGTCCAGGCCCCAAGCCACAAAGGACAGATCGGAATATTTTCAGACTGGGCAAGTATTCATTTGATCCTACCTCAGATCTAATAATCTAATGTTGCTGTCCTCGGGGGTGGGATACAATAAAGAATATTATTTTTAAATGAGTCTGACCCTACTGCCTTGCAGTTACTCAAAGATCTATACTACTAAAGTACTATCTACTTAAATAGCTTTGAAGATGAAAGGTTCACACACTTCTCAGAGTGGCTTGGTGGTGGTCAACAGACCCCCTAGTGGTCAGATGAGGTGGAAACAGACTTTGGCTTTGGCTGCCTTTGTGCCACCATAAATGAGGCCTTAAATGCCTCTATACTAATGCTTGTAGTATGGGGAACAAGCAGGAGGAACTTACCCTCCTGCTAGCTAACACAAACCTGTACATAGTGGGGCTCACTGAAACCTGGTGGGATTCAACCCATGACAGGGCAGTAAACATCAAGGGCTATAGGCTGTACAGGTGGGATAGAATGGGGAGGAAAAGTGGGGGTTTGGCGCTCTACATCAAAGAGCAATACACGTCCTCAACAAAGAGCACAGGGTCAGAGGAGGGGCAGACTGAAGTGCTCTGGGTTAGAATACAAGGGGGTCAGGGGAAAGGGGACTTAATGGTGGGTGTCTACTATTGACCATCCAACCAGGGAGAAGAGCTGGACTGGGAATTCTCAGGTCAGCTTGTGGAGGCAGTTAGGTCAAGGGACATGGTCATCATGGGTGACCTAAACTACCCAGACATCTGCTGGGAGGAGCAGTTAGCCAAGTCTGACTGCTCACATAGATTCCTAGCCAAGATACAGGACCTCCACCTAACCCAGGAGGTGCACAGTCCCACCAGGGGAAATGCCTTGCTGGACCTGGTCCTGGCCATAGGCGATGACCTGGTGAGGGGACTGTAGGTTCTCGACCACCTGGGCAATAGTGATCATCGCCTACTGGAATTCACCATCCAGCGCAGGGTGTCAAAGGCCTGCAGCATGGCATCAGCTCTTGACTTCAGAAGGGCCAATTTCAATGAGCTAAGGAGATTAGTTGGGGAGGCACTGAGGTCCTGGAGGGGAGGAGAGTTGGGAGTTCAAGGCAAGTGGTCATTCCTTTAGGAGATGATCCTCCAAGCCCAAAGGGTGACAATCCCAATGCGAGTCAAAGGGGCCAAGAGCGCTCAAAAGCCCCCATAGCTCACCAAAGGCGTTCAGAAATGTCTGAAAGCTAAAAAGGAGGCGTACACCCGATGGAAGGGAGGGGCCAACACCAAAGAGGATTATACCTCCATTGCTCAAGACTGTAGGGGGGGACATTAGGAAGGCTAAAGCTGAAACCGAACTAGAACGAGCGACCAGGATCAAAGTTAATAAGAAGTCTTTTAAATAGATAGGGAGTAAAAAGAAAGCACCGGGTAACGTGGGACCCCTGCAGGACACACTTGGCAATCTGGTGGTTGCACCAGACGACAAAGCTGACCTCTTTTAACAAATTCTTTGCTTCCGTTTTTCTGAGTAGGGACCAAGACATCCCCCCCACCAGGATTCCAGAAGGACTAAGGAGAGGACCTAGTTAGGGAACTTCTGGTGGGACTGGATGTGTTCAAATCAGCAGGTCCAGATGATCTGCACCCCAAGGTGCTGAGGGAATTGGCAGAGGTCATTGCAGGATGCCTGGCATGGCTTTACGAGCACTTGTGGTGCTCTGGACAGCTGCCAGAGTACTGGAAAAGGGCCAGTCGTGGTCCCCATTTTCAATAGTTTTTCTGGACTTTAGGAAGGCCTTTGACACTGTATCTCACCCCATTCTCATTAAAAAAATTAGGCGACTGTGGCGTTGATGCCTACACAGTCAGATGGGTTGCAAATTGGCTGAAGGGCCACACCTAGAGAGTGGTGGTGGACGGGTCATTTTCAACCTGGAGGGACATGGGCAGTGGGGTCCCCCAGGGCTTGGTCCTTGGGCCCGCACCGTTTAACATCTTCATCAGCAACTTGGATGAGGGGGTGAAAAGCACCTTGTTCAAATTCGCAGATGACACTAAGATGTGGGGAGAGGTGGGCATGCTAGAAGGGAGGGACAGGCTACAACTAGATCTGGATAAGTTACAGGGATGGGCGGATGAGAATAGGATGGGATTCAATACTGACAAGTGCAAGGTACTGCACCTAGGAAGAAAAAACCAGCAGTATACCTAAAGGTTGGGGAACTCCCTTCTCATTAGCACAGAGGCAGAAAAGGATCTTGGAGTCATTATTGATTCCAAGATCAACATGGGCCGCTAATGCGAGGATGTGGCTAGTAAAGCTAACCGCACCTTGGCATCACAAGC